AAGAACCTCGGAAGACCATAACGTCGCGAGAGACGTCGATACCGGATTCGGCGGAGGCGATGCGCACGGCGTGCTGGGTCATCTAGAAAGCCCATGAGGTCGATGGCGCTGCGGAAGAAGAGCGAGGGGGCGTCGGTGACCATGCACTGGCCGGCGATGAGCACGGCCTGGCTCTTGAGGTGGGGGCGGGCGTCGAGGAAGGCCTGCGAGACAACGTCGTCTCGCGCCCCACAACAAACCGAGGTCGGGCAGCACTGCAGATTCGTCAGGGGCGCGTGGATCATGGGAGCGTCGAGGATCTGGTCGAGCGTGTAGACGTCCTGGAACTGCGAGTACAAAAAAAAGGGTCGAGTGCTCGTGGTTGACGCGGGCAATCTCGGCAAAGTCGCGGGCCTCGGCGCCGTGCTTCTCCATGTACTCACGGCCGGCGTTGCCGAACATTTGCGCGGCGCCAGGGGCCTTGGTGATGCCGCGCGTCTCGGCCATCATCTTGACGGTCGTGCCGGTGGGGTTCTCACGATCGTTGAAGAAGCTCTGCAGGCTGCCGGGCATCATCTTCTCAAAGCCGACGACGAGGACGCAGTCGGCAGCGCCCGAGCTCACAAACTGGCGGGCCATGGCGAGGCCGGTCGACCCTGTGGAGCAGTTGTTGTTGACATTGTAGATGGGAATCTGGGTCATGCCGAACTGGTAGAAGACACGCTGGCCGCATGTCGAGTCGCCGTAGCAGTAGCAGGCCACGCCCTGCTCGACATCATCATAGTTGATCTGGGCATCGAGCATGGCCTTGACGCCAGCCTCAAAACCGAGTTCGGTGTAATCGACCTTGCCACGGGGCTTGATGAACTTGGTCATGCCAACGCCGAGGACGTAGCTGGGAGCCTTGGGCTTGGGCGCCATCTTGTCGGGTTGTTGGAAGGGATACACTGGTGATTGCGTAGGTGACCGTGGGTATGGCAAATGATTTGGGTGAAGATGTATCGTGACAAGTAACAAAGGGTGGGTGACAGAGTGAGTGGCAAAGGGGAAGCTGAGTTGGAACAGCGACACGATGACTTGATAAACCGTTTGGCCTACCAAGCCTGGATGAGGTTCTCCAGCGTGACGGACCTTTTCCCCACAGGCGCCGGGACGCCAGGCCCGACTCGAATGATGCGGGGAGCCGAGGCCCCAACCGCCTCGCGACTCCCTCACGACTGCCTCGCCCCTGCCTCCCCCCCTTGACCCCGATTGTCCGACCTGTCCGACCTGCTCGCGCTCTCCATCAGACAGGTGAAGCCCACACAAGCCGGGGTAGCTGGACCAATCAACTGGCTTGCCGAGGTAGATTCCCCCCCACCTGCCTCCCCGCAGTCTACAGCGAACTTGCCGTTTGGGGAATCCATATCGTGGAGCCTGCCTTGGTGTGGGGTGCGCCTTCCTGCCACCATGATTCTTATGAAGGAAAGTCATCTCAACGACACGTGCCTGACACTGAGGAAGGGAGCCAATGTGAATACTGATGTTGCAAGCCGAGTAGCTCCTCCTTTTGCTGCTACCCTAACGGATAACGCCACTCTGAATCATCGGCTCTTGGTGGCCATCTAAACTAAAACAATCGCTCGCCCGACTCTTCTTCCGCCTTTGCCCCGAGAATCTTGTGCCCTTGACGACTGCGTCACATGTACAAAAGTTGAGCCCTGTCGCTCACCCAAAAAAAAGTCCATTGACATAGAAGCAAAAAAAAAGTTGCAAAAACAGTCAACATGAATCGAATCAAAAAGACAAAAAAAGGAAGTTGGTATCGTGCCTGCCTCCCTCCCCCCTCCAAAAGATATCCTGCGTGTGCTGGGTTGGATTCTATATTGTGCGCCAATCATCCGGCCATGCAAAATCTGTCCCTCTGTCTGGCTCTCTTCATCCTGCACCAATCCCATGGTGCATGTGAAAAAAAAAAGAAATCCGACCATCTCCAACGAACAATGCCTCAACGTTCGTATCAAACGCAACGGAGGAAAACGACCGCCTTGACGACAAGCCATGGCGCTTCATGACGACCACAGCGGCATGATCTGGCCCCAGTACAGATCCCAGCTCGGGTCGAGGCCCTCGAGGTCCCAAATCATGCTCTCCTCATCCTGCGTCTGCCGTCCAGTCATCATCAGCCCAGTTCCACCCCTGCCAGAGCTTCCATCCCCGGTTTCCACTTACCGGCGCCGCCGCCATGCCGTTGGCGTGCAGCATGTAGTGTGGAGGCTGCTGGCCCGGCACCTGTGCCTGGAGATAGGGGTGGCTGTTGTTGATCGACAGCGGCGGCGGAGGGTGAGGCAGCGGGGAATGGACGAGCTCGGGGTTTGTGTTGGTGGCGCGCATGCACGTCTCGAGCACGACGGTCAGCATGCGCCGGATCTCGTGCAGCTTCTGCTCGTGTGCCGTCGTCTGTACCGACGCGAGGACGACTGACAGGGCGACGATATCCTTGACGTCGCCGCCACCGACGTTGCGCATCAGCAGGTCCATCGACTTGTCGACTGTCTTGATGAGGCGCACCGGTGACCAAAGCGCTGGCGTTTCGGCCCGGTACGACCGCGCATCGTCGAACGGCTCCGGGGACAGCGCCGCCAGCTTGAGGTTGCTGTACGGGCCCGCGTTCGACTGGAGGCCGGCACGGATGTAATAGCACAGGCTCAGCGACGCCTGCAGCATATCTCGTTTGAGCACAAGGTGGTACATGTCACTGACGCTCTGGTAGTGCGCCAGCATCGGGTCGAGCTCGTCGAGATACTGTAGGATCACCATAGACGACGTGAGGTAGGCCCGCGTGATCTGCGCCGGCGCATCCACCGAGCCCAGCGCAAAGGGGCGGTACAGCGCCAGCAGTGGCCGTCGGATGTGCATGTCGAGAATGACCCGGCATCGCCACATCTTGCTTTGCTCGCTGTCGCTCAGCGAATTATTCCGCGGGAAGAGATAGCCAATGTCCTCCGAGATCAGCTCTAGCTTGGCCCCGAGCTCGAGCACCTCGTTGTAGTCGCGAATCGAGTCGATGCGGTTGAGCATGTGCACCACTTTGAGGCGAATGCCGACCGTCATGGCCGCGTAGCATTGGATCTGGTTGTCTGTGCCATTGTCGATCGGTCTGCTCGGGGGCAGCTCAACCATCTCGGGGAAGAGCTCCTTGTCGTTGAGATTGCTGGGCGGCTTGCAGGTGAAGTCGCCTTCCCGGATCGAGCAGGGCAGGCTGCAGACGAGTGAGACGTGCAGGTCGAGTTCAAGGATGGAGAACCACATTCTCCTCCGCATCTCGGCCGAGAAGACGGGGATTTGGGGTTCGAATTCGGAAGGATCCCGGTGCATCCCCATCGTCATGGCCATGCGGAGAATGGCGCCCAATTGTGTCCACAAGACCTGTGGCCTCGCCGCCGTCATGCGCATGGCTTGCAGGAGCAGCATCTCCGTCTGCAGCGTCGTAAAGTCAATCAGTTGTTTGCCCTTTAAGCTGTGGAGCCAGGACTTGACCAGCTCGCAGGCCGTCGGGATGTGAACGCCGTCGAAATCGGTGCCAATGCTCTTGCGCAAGCCCTTTGACTTGGCCTCGAACCGCGAACCCGTGGCGCAGATGGCCAGAAGCTGGGGCAGAAATGTGTCGCCCTGCAGTTTTCCGTCCCAGTACATCTCGTACTGGGCCATGAAAGTGGGTATGTGTATGATCCTGTAGATCGTCTCCGTCGTGTGTATGTACGACCCGAGAAGCTTGTCGCAGACTTCGCGCTTGGGGAGGACGTGTTGCATTCGACCCCGCACCGGCGTCGTCGACTCGACGTACACCGTCATGGGCGTGAGCGACTCCTTGTACGAGTCGAGGATCAGCTTGTGCAGTCGGGACAGGGCTGACATGAGATCGCGAAACTCGGCCGAGTCAGCGTGGTTGGCCAAGAACTCCTTGGCCTCGTCAAACTGTGGGCGAAGGTCAGTGCGATTCCAACAGGCCAGCGGTGGACCACGCGACAAGGTTCGGCACGGTATGATCTCTTACCAGGTTCATGAGGACGCGCACACTGCTCTGACCGAAGAACCGCGTCTGGAGAGCTCCTTGCTTCACGGTCAGCCCTCGTATCGTTGCCGGCGAGAGCGGCAGGCGGGGCATCTCGGCGGCCGAGGGACTCTTGATCAGCACATGGTTTTCCAGGCGATCGACTCTAGAGGCCAGCTCCTGCAGAGGCGACGCGCCATTGATGTCCCCGTTGCGCGCTGACGAAAAAGGGAGGGCCCAGGTTGGCGCTCCCGGCGTTATTTCCTTGACCCCCCACTGGAGCACAGTTGCGCTTCGCCGGCCGTTGCGCGTCGCTTGGCTCGGCGTCGGAGGCGTCGGAGAGGGCAGACGAGTCGTGTTCTGCAGAGTACCTGCAGTTTCGATGCGATTTCTGGCATTGTGCGCACGGCAGATTTCGATCGCACTTGAGCTTGCGCTTGCGACACTCGGTGCATGACTTGACTGGTCGCGGTCGTTTGACGCTGCGGGCGGCCGAAGGGTTCGTTGATGTCGGCGTTGAGGCCGTCGCATGGGCCGCCGAGTGTGGCACCGGCGAGTGCATGGGCAGCCCTTGTGCATCGTAGGCGCTGCTATTCGGCGAGAGCCCCATCGGCGCAACGGCGGCGGCATGGGGAGCCAGACCAGGCGTGATGTCGTCGGGCGCGTGGTTTGCCGACGGCGTCGTCATGTCGGTTACATATGCAGACATGCCTGGAGCCCTTTGACGGCTGGGCAGCCGTGATCTAAAGGTTTGCGACTGCAGTGTAGCAGTCTGAAGGCCCCGTAGGATTGCGCACGCGAGATGGGCAGCGAGCGCCTCAGGCTGGGCGACGGGGCCTGGCGGGGTGCGAGTTACACGGTACGGCTTCCCCCCCCCTCGTCCCCTCCTTTTCCCTCAATGAAGAAGGCCGTTGCTGGTAGCGTTTGATGAGCTGCGACGTCGAGCTTGATCATTGGGGTCTAGGATACAAAACGGGCGAGTCATTCGCTGGGCGTGACGATCCGAAGTAGTGGTTGGGGGTGTGGCACCTCGGAGCCCAAATCTCTGGGGAACCTGTGGGTTGCAGGAGGAGGAGCAAATCGAGTCATTCGTAGCTATCGACTGACAGTGCACCACCAACTGAGCCTGGACGGACAGGAAATTGTAGCTGCTGCGTTCGCCCGGAAAAAGATAGAGAAATACGAGCGTGCGCAGTGCGTGTTTGCCGGTATTGTCGAGGTCGGTCGTGGGGGTCCGATGCGACGCGCGGGGCGATGAGTGTGTGATTTGCAGGTTTTGGAAATTTGGTGTCCGTCCTGGTTGGCAAGGGGGAGCGAGATGATGTATGTGGCGAGAGAAGAGGTCCCAGGACAAAGGAGCTTGGGAGAAAAAAAGACGGGATGGACAGATGAGATGACTGAACAAAGGGAGAAGCTTCCTCGGTCGAGCACGAGGAGGTGGATGATCCAAGCTTCTTCTGTCGTCGCGACACAGTTGGTTCTAAGTTGCCTTGAGGAGGAAACAATCGGAGACGAGGTACAGAAGTACCAATCCCAGGAAATGCAACAAGATGGCGCCAGCCAGGGCAAGAGAACGTAGCTCGACGACGGAGTGGTCAGCTCTGCGCCGGGGTTATGATGGCTCGATGGTTAGCGTTGCTTCACGCACACCACCCCCCCCTATTTTCTTCCGTCACCACGCTCTTTCGGACGGTAGTGAGGTCCCTCGTTCGACATCCCCTCTTCCCTGGAGGTGTGCTGTGTGTGGTCGGTGAGGACAAGCTGCTACACGGGAATATCGGGCAGAAAAAAACACAGGTGCCGCTTGCGCCATGTTGGATGGCACGTCCGAGATGGGACGGCCAGGACCTGACATCGAGGCTGCACTGCCACCCCTGGCCCCCGGTCG